CTGCTGCCCCAAGCACACGGGAAGGGCCAGCTGTTGCCCCGAGCACACGGGAAGGGCCAGCTGCTGCCCCGAGCACACGAGAAGGGCCAGCTGCTGCCCCGAGCACACGGGAAGGGCCAGCTGCTGCCCCGAGCACACGGGAAGGGCCAGCTGCTGCCCCAAGCACACGGGAGGAGCCAGCTGCTGCCCCGAGCACACAGGAAGGGCCAGCTGCTGCCCCGAGCACACAGGAAGGGCCGGCTGCTACCCTGAGCACACGGGAATGGCCAGCTGCCGGCTCGCGATAAAAAATAAAGGAATTAATTTCTATTAAATGCAGTTTTCCTTGGACTGCGCCAGTGGAGAACGCACGCGGTTCATATGCTGGACATGTCCTCTAGTCCCACAGTCCAAAACTATTTCATTGTTACTAGATTTAAAATACAGTTGGCAGGATGTTGGCAATACTGTCCAGTAAATGCTCACGGTGTATTACAGGGTCAATGTCCTCCTTAAACATTTCCTTAATATAACTTGTCTGGATGCTGGCGAAACTCCTTGAATGTGTAATGCAGCCTGATAAACTAAGACCAACAACTATTCTCTTTATGCCCGAAACGCTTTGCGTAATAGTGGCTTTAGGCATTGTATGTACTAGCCCTATCTATAAATCTATCACTCTTTGTAAAATCTCTTGTATGTGTGTACCTTACCTAAATAAACATTTGATTTGATTTGATTTAGGATTAGGCTTGACCAGACTTCACTGGTGCTGAGAGGCTTTATACTTCCTCTCTCTTCTTCTTATACAAGACACTCGAGGCTGGCCAAGTATCCTCCAGGTGGAGCACAAGCTGCATCTCTCTGACGTACACACACCCTTCACGCCCTGACGGCCCGTCGCCAAGCCTCAAGGTGAACACGGGTGGTGTCTCATCCCTCAAGGTGTAGAGGAGAAGGATGGAGACAATGGAGGATTAGATGGGAGACATTGCGTTGGGAGAGAAGGAAGGAAGGAAGGAAGGAAGGAAGGAAGGAAGGAAGGAAGGAAGGAAGGAAGGAAGGAAGGAAGGAAGGAAGGAAGGAAGGAAGGAAGGAGACACCAGCAGACTCCACAGTAATAGAAGTATAGAGCAGAAGACACGTCATGACGGGCGAGAGGTGTGAGGCGGCCGGACTCAGGATAAATCATGGCGGAGAAGGCAGGGAGAAGAGAGGGCGGGATATATGGGGAGACACCACCAGAGGGGAGAAGGGAGCCTGAAGCGAGGATGGGTTGCTGAGCGGTGAAGGGGACAATAAGGTTAGGTGGTGTTAAGATACGATGGATTAAACATGATGAATGTTACTGTAACTTGGAACGGCGCGGACCCGTTCTGCGGCGCCGCGTACTGACCACACTAACGGTATAATATATGGACGCTGTGGATACACGCACACAAGTTTAATACTTGAGGGAATTATAAACACATTGGTAATTGTGGATACACTTTCCTGAACTAATGAGAATCGACATCGTTAGGGGCTTGTACTACGTACGCTTGTCGCACCGTGAGAACGGCCGAGTACTGCAAGATGGAAGTCTGTAGCCTTCCTAGCTATTTGAATACCATGACCTACGTCCAGAACTTGTGGCGCGGGTCCGATAATGGATGGCCGTGAGCACCGGTAAACACTGTGGGGGTCTTACCCCTTACTCCAGTACAATGTTCGAGAGGACATGAATAGGATCTCTCGGCACGCGAGATGTGAGCGTCTGAGCTCACGCGTGGGTAGTGTAAACTGGAGTCCAGTTACCATAGAGTCTTCATAAGAGACGCTGTTACCTGTGGCAGGTGGCTACAGGTGGCGATTCTTCCAATCCTGAGTACTCCAGGTGCAAACTCCGTGAACAAGAAATGGCTCTTGATCTCACAACGATTACATCGTTGAATGTTCAGTCATTAGAACCATCAGCCCTGCCGGCCTGAGGCACTGTAATACCACTCCTTGTAATATCTCTTTTTTTGTAATACCGCCACTAGGATGTCATAAATATAACCAATCCTTTTAGTCGCTCAAGATGATCTGAGTTCAGAGTAACCAAATGGATGAGAGAGAGAGAGAGAGAATGAGAGAGAATGAATGGGGTGCACAATCAACTACCACTCACAGGATGAGTATGGGGTGCACAATACATAACCTGGCGCCACCACTGGCAACAATAAACATCATATATGGTTTCCATCTCAAGTGTTGCCAGAACTTCCTCCAATACTAATATTCCGCTCATTATTTAAGCGCATAAATAAGCAACGATGTACTTAAATTTATGGCAAAATAAAGAAGCTCTTTTAACTATTATTATTAACCTAGCTTCAAAACATTATATTCTTTAGCTTTAAACTGCATATGCGAATCTTTTGCCCAATTTAAAAGCCTATCTAAATGTCTTGCATCGATTTTGAAACTTCGAAATTACCCTACTCTATTTTTGTATCGTTTGCAAATTTGCAAATGTTGCTGATTTTCTCATGTATGTCTTAATTTCTAATATATGCGGCAAACAACAGGACAGAATCCTAAAGCACTCCACTTGCAAAGGTTTCATACTCAACACATCTCCATTTATGCTTACCAATTAAACTCTAATCCCAATACCATGCGTCTCTACCTTTTTAATGAGTCTCTCGTAAGGTATAGCATGAAAGGCTTGTCTAAAATCAAGGTCGCTAATTGGTCGATAGTTCGACACACTTGATGCATTCCCCAGTTATAAATCGACTCTATATTCCCAACTCTTCACGATTCAGGTACTCTTCTCGATTCTAATTATTTATTAAACATGCAAGACCAGGGTTCACTAAGCTCATCTTCACATTGCTTAGTGACCCTGGCAAACACTTCGCCTGGGACTTGCTGGGCTTTAATTTGTATATTTATTTAATAACTTCCTCCATAGTAACCACTAAATTGGTCAACTTATTCTCTACACCATTTACATAGATTTATTCAACTATAGGTAAAATAACAATTATTTTTTAGTAATTATAAGGACATGGTACATAGAACACAATTAATTTATTTGTCATTATCAGTTAGTTGACCTGTAAAATGTTTCATTGGAACCGTCTTTCTGATCCAACCGCTCACTGCTGTATACCCTGCGCCCTTAATTGCCCACTCTCTCACTTACTCTTAATAGTATGTACCTGGGCCACCAAAGCGAGCCTGTTCTTTCTTTCCTCCAACGTAGTGAATTTTAATTCTCTCTCCCGTTCACAATGACCGAGTCCCCTCAACCTTGGGACAAGTTTTATCAAGAGTGAACATTTTCATGTTAACATTCTAAGGCGGAGCCGCATAATTAATCGTTACGAAAGTGTTATGTAGTGTTAGGAAGGCCTCTTTGTATAGGTACCTGAAGGTGGCTCGAACATTTGCCAGTTTTACACACGCTCCAAACGTTTTGTTAATATGTTCCTCAGGTGCCAAGGGTGGTGTTATATACAGATAAACTCACAGATCTTTCTGTTTCTCTGCTTCAAGCGGTGGCTTACTTTTAACCTGTAAATTAAGGGCTTCTTTTCCCTTGTTCTTATCCTCACTAGTTTGTATTTGTACCGGTTGATATTTAGCAATTATCATTCCGGTTATCGCTGCCAGTGCCTCAAGGATCGAATGTAGTCTTCCATACAAATTTCCCTTCTAATTCTTTTCATCAGTTATACTTCGTCCACAAACAGGGATATAAATTACCTTATTTCCTCTGTCAGGTCGTTGACATTCATGAGGAATGAGTCCCAATATCTCTGGGGGACCCACTTGTGTTCTATTGCAACCCGTTCGTCACCACCTGTCCGCTACCCTCTCACCTGGTAATGGCAACCCAAAACTAGAAGATGGGAAATCTTAAATTAAGTTTTTCATCAGTGACTATTCCAAGTTGTCAAGCACAACCACGAACTCACACCCGCTCAGCACACAACTTGGCGCATAAACAGGTGTCAGTACCGTCTTGTCAGTTCTGAATGGTATGTTTTCTATGGCAATCTTTTTTCTTTCTTTACAGATAAATTTGAAGAGAGTTCAGCAGTGGTAACAAATGAAAATGGGAAGCAAGTGCCACCTTTACCTGTGCAGTATACCCTGGAGCCAGCCGATCTCGTCACACTTCACCTTGCATGGTGCGTATAATGCCACACTTGCTACCATATACACTTTGACCCAATTATAACAGTAACAAGGTTATCGCGAATAACCGAGCTCAATTACGGGCTCACCATAGCCCGTGCTACATGAATACTTCGTTCTAAGCAGCTAAATCTAAAACAACAACAACGTACCATATACTTACTTGACCGTTGTCTCCGTACATGTTGAAGAAGGCTTCAGAGAAATGTGTCGTATATCCACAAGCATCACATCCAATATAAAAACTTTTAAGATTTAATTGTTCAACTTCCTTTCCATGTGCAGAACATCAGTAATGTAGAGAAGATTTGTGTTGGTATCACTGATCTCATCCTTTGATTCAATATTAATTTAACTGATTTGCACAAAAAGCAATATTGAATATGCAGGTAATTTTACATTGAGTATTATCTTAATAATTGTATCAACATAAATGAAACTTCATTAATTATCTTTTCTCAATTAAAAAAAATGAATATAATGAATCTACAACATAAGAATAAAAACACTATCATCATTGCAAATGTTATATCAAAATACTCGTTATATACAGTAATTATATTATGTGAATAATAATTAGAAAGATTATTGAATTTCCGAAGCTATCAACAATATGAAAACTGCGCAAGTAACACAAACAAGTAAACCAATGATGCAAGGAAATCGATAATTCACTAGAGACGAGTACAGCTAGACATACTAATATCGCCGTGCCACCTCCCCCCTCCCCCCCATACCGACGCTCACTGCGGGGTTTACACTCCACCAACAGATGGCGCAATCATGGCAGTATCTGGCAGCGTTTGTGGGTATGCATTTCTTAGTTATTTAATGGGAAGCATTCTTATCTTGCTTAGAGTCTGCAGCCCGCCGTCGGTCGAAGTTCCCGGCGCGCTTCCTTGAGAACGGACGTACCGCTGTGCTCTTTAATGTCGACTAACAACCACTGTATACACCGTGAAGCATGTGCCTCTTATGATAACGTTGACAATTTAGAAAGGGCCGAGTTGAGTGTGTGGACAAAGTGAATTTAGCTAGTGACTTGTACACAGTGGTTGTTAGTGCTAGTTGAGAGCCAGCGAGTACGTGTCTCCTCTGCTGCCGTCCTCCTGCTGAGCGCCGATACCGTCACTGCAGCAGCCATGACCGATGTAAGTATCCGGCAGCAGTCTGCGTCGTCCTATCTTGATGGTAGATTTCTCCCTCGGGGCCTCTACCATCTGGGTAGTTGGCTCCTGCCAATATGCCTAGTAGAACTAAAAGAAACTGATGTAGTAAAGCCGACACTGATGGCGGCAGTGCGGCCTACCCTCAACCTTGGCCTGGGGTAAGAACTGCCCGCTTTTCTTTGTTGCAACAACAAAAGCTTGGATTCAACAACCATATTCTTACGAATATATACATTTCAATCTTGCGACTATCGAAACTTCCCAATTACATGTTGTTACTGTTATAAACCTCTTGGTGCTTCGGTCCTCATAAACTGCTTAATAAATGTAAACAACGCCGCCAAAGATTAAGATCCGCAGTATCTTGATCTTTATTGTAGTTCCGTAACTACTTGACGAATCGAGCCAGGCGTCTAGTCCGGCTACCCTTTACCAGAACACGGCAATTAGGTGCGCAGTTACTAAGCACTGCTGGCACTGTACCAGGTTGCTGTGTCGGCAATCTCCTCCCCACATCTAGACACAATTAACCCTACCATGCACAGCTATCCTTCGTCACCATGCAGGGTAGACTGGATAAGTTGCACAGTTTTCATAGTTCTTATAGTTTTTGTAAAATTTGTAATTTCACTTTGCATTCGAAAGTTCTGCAAAAAAAGGCTTAGTTGATGCTAAACCCGGGAAAAAGCGTTCGGATAGTCTTCGGACAAGGTTAAGGTGATTGGCAGTACTCTGGCTTTGGCACTCAGGTTCTAGGGATAGTTGCCAGGCACGAGGCTCCGGCAAGCTGAGAGCTCCAGGCGGGCGTCCTATAAGCACCCTGGTCTCGGCGCTCGAATTGGCGCCAGGCATCTACCTTGAAAAAAAGTTTCTTCGAACATGTTAATTTAAATAACATTAGTGCAAGTAAATTTAATAAAATGTATTATGCAAGTGGTTCCATAACTAGCAGATTCCAGTACTTCAGGAAAAGTCCAATTCGTCGTCTGTTTTTTAAAATCTCCCAAGCACATTTATAACAGTGGCACGTCAATCCGTTCACCCTTGATGGGTTGTGGCAGGTGCCAAGACGGTGCCAAACAGCTGATGGAACTATAACGCAGGAGACGTCATTATTTTGGTGCTTGGTAGAGTTGCGGCTGGTAGCCGCCGCACACTGACTGGGGGCTTTGGTCTTGGATACTAAAATCATAAACTATTATTTAATTAACCTGTAATATACCGATAACATTTTCCAACGACTTCCTTCCAATGAACGTCTTCAATATCTTGTAATTTAAAGTTTCGGTGAAAAGCCTTTAGTTATAATTATAGGTTGTATAGATCGCGTAAAATGTGTAGAATATCCACCAGAGGCAACATACAGCCCCCGCTCCTATACCAGGTAAGTCCATTACGGGCTCACCATAGCCAGTGCTACTTGGAACATTTTGTTCCCAGCAGCTGAATCTAAAACGCCATCCACCCGAGATTTGATAAGTGTCACGTATAATTCCCTGACATTACCGCTCACACGGTGAGTATGGGGATGATGATAAACCAGCCGCCCCTGGTGGTAAGTCACAATATGGGTGATCGGGTTGCCACGGTGAGGGTGGGGGATGGCATCAGGGTCAGGGCCGCCCCCGGAGATGGCGTCAGGGCCGCCCCCGGAGATGGCGTCAGGGCCGCCCCCGGAGATGGCGTCAGGGCCGCCCCCGGAGATGGCGTCAGGGCCGCCCCCGGAGATGGCGTCAGGGCCGCCCCCGGAGATGGCGTCAGGGCCGCCCCCGGAGATGGCGTCAGGGCCGCCCCCGGAGATGGCGTCAGGGCCGCCCCCGGAGATGGCGTCAGGGCCGCCCCCGGAGATGGCGTCAGGGCCGCCCCCGGAGATGGCGTCAGGGCCGCCCCCCACCGGGGAGGGCGGGTGGGGGGGGGGGATGGCATCAGGGTCAGGGCCACCCCCGGGGAGAACACACTGCCACTAAACATCAGACTGCAGCACCAAGCCATCAGGGTGTGGAACACCATCGAAATATTAGAGGACCCAATGTTAAAAAGATAACTCCAAGATGAGACGCCCCGCTCCCACAGCTGGTGGCCCAAGACCCTAGATTTACTAGATGAAAACCCAGCCCCACAGTACATAATTCCCAGATGAAATGTTGGGAATACAGACAATATGTATACACGTATAAATAAACCAATTATTAATAATAATAGCCTTAAACAGAACGTGTACGCATCAGGATGTGTATATATGAATGTTACACAGTATTCATCTATAGGCATCCATATATGCTGAAATACATGTGAAGAACCTCTCACACTCACAGCTCCCTAACAAGAGAGCCAGCTTAGCTTAGCTGCCAACACCCACACATGGTGTCAGCAAGGCGGACAGTCCGCCTGCTTTCATACCTCTCACTGTATTTCCCATTTCTAAACTTCCCTTCACTTATGCCTCTCCATCCTCTTTACTCCCCCCAAAAAAAAAGTTGAGAACTTTGTCAACAACATTGCATGTTATTTCAATCTTTGCTATTTAATGGGCAAATCCATAGGCGCCGTGACTAGGGGTTCGAACTTATGGCCAAGCGCGCACAGCGCATGCGTTCGAATCCTCATGGCTCCTGCAGATTTTCTCGCTGATGCATCACGTTAGTGTGATTACTGTGTAATGCAATTTAATACCCCCAATTTATTGTTGATAATGCGCATTTAATTACATTAAACAATGGCAACCTATACACCTAGCTGGCTGGAGTTGCTTTAAGATGCTACAAATCGGTACCGAAACCTCTTGTGCTATATATTACTATCCATTATCCGGTGGTCAGCATAGTAGCCTCATAACATAAGTTCCAGGTTAAATCTCGCAGCAGGACAGACTTTTCGAAAAGTTAACTTGCACCTGATACGTCAGTTTCCTTAAGAGTAAAGTTACCCGTGAGCGAGGTGCAATAGGTACTCTGAGAGATCTCTATCAACATCAGTCCAGAGACTTCAATACGCTTCCACTGCACATAAGGGGCATAACTGGCTGACCACTCGTGTTCAATAGAGAATATAAACACCTCCCAGAAGATACCTGATCAACCAGGCTGACACACGTCAGGATGCGAGCAGCCGCGTCCAACAGCCTGGTTGACCAGACAATCAGGAGGCCTGGTCAGAGACCGGGCCACGGGGACTTTGACCCCCGAAATCAACGCAGGGTAAAGTAGGCAACTGTTTTAAGTGGCATCCAGGAAAGGTCAGGCGTTGGACTAGCGAGGCTTTAATAAACTAACATGCTTCCTGTCCCTGACACCATTTGGTCACCACTTGGTCCGGGAGACATCTCCCGTCACGCAGGGTGCAGTTGCGCCTCCACAGATCTCCAGTATCATCTTTTGATACTGGTAATGGCTCGAAAGGGCCACCACTTACGGGCTATTCATGCCCGTGCCACCTCTTGGGTGGCTTAATCTTCATCAATCAATCTGTCCCTGACTAGACGGAACCAAATACCGTGACTCTTGCTGGTCATTGTGTTCCCAGAGTAGTCCAGGAACTTTGCAATCACAAGTTAATCTATACAAATAAAAATTGAAATGTTCGTTTGTTCAAATTCGCTAATCTCCGAAAGTTCTTTACCGAATGCTATGAAATTTTCCCAGGCACACAAAGCGCATACGTTCGAATCCTCATCACGGCTCCTGCAGATTTTCTCACTGATGCATCACGTTAGTGTGATTACTGTGTAATGCAATTTAATACCCCAAATTTGTTTGTAATGGGCACATCGTTCACATTCGCATCCGAACGGGTTTTTATATACATACTATATAGATGTCATGTGTGACGGGGGGGGGGGGGGGGGGAATGATTTTAAGAAAACCTGTTTTTCATGTAATTTTCATGCGAGGGGAAATCTTCGAAACCTCTTTACCGATTGCTTTGAAATTTTGACACTACTTTGCATTCGAACAGGCGCGCATATTTATATGCCTACTATATACATGCCTCGCCTGTGACGGGTAAAAGCATGCTTTTTTGACAAACGGCGCCATCTGTTGCACGTAATAGCAATACACACATTATTCTAAATATGTTAAGATTCCCTTTCAGTGTTTCTGATTGCATTGATAAATTGAATTTTCATAGATTAAGATTTATTTCCATTTTGATCTATTGTGACATTGCGTTGAAATTGAGCTGTGTTGTTTACCATACCGTTCATTTCGTGAATATAGTTTTTTTCATTGGTTTTTCATTTCGTTTTTTGAACTGTTTTTCTTATTTCGGTGATGGGAACTTTTGGGGACAGATTCACGAAGCAGTTACGCAAGTACTTACGAACGTGTACATCTTTCCTCAATCTTTGATGGCTTTGGTTATATTTATTAAACAGTTTACAAGCACGAAAACTTGCCAATCAACTGTTGTTGTTATAAACAGCCTCCAGGTGCTTCGGAGCTCATTAACTGTTTAATAATTGTAAACAAAGCCACCAAAGATTGAGAAAAGGTGTACAGGTTCGTAAGTGTTTTGAGTAACTACTTCGTGAATCTAGCCCCAGATCATCTGATGTTCCCAATTTTCTGATCGGTACATCAGAAAATAAACATCAAAACATCATTTGATCAATAGACCAAGAAATGGGGAATGGGGGGACGGAGGAGGGGACGGGAATGGGGGACGAGGGGACAGGGGAGGACTAGGACAGGGGAGGTAGGGAAGAGTAGACGGGGGAATGGAGAATGGTGGGAGGACAAGGGGGACAGGGGAGTGGAGGATAGTGGGGAGGACGAGGGATGGGGGAATGGTTGGGAGGACGAGGGGCCGAGGGAGGGAGAATGGTGGCGAGGCCTAGGAGGGGGGGAAGGTTGCTGTGGCCGGGTACAGCTAGTTGATAATGATAGTGTAACAATACTGAAGCTTGGGTTAACGTTTTTGCTGTTGGTGCCTCCTGAAGCAGCACTGTAACACCCCTCCCCCCCCCCGCCTCGCTGCTGCTTGTAAATACGTTATATTCATGAGCGTATATAACTGCTTTGCTGTTCTGAGTATTGATTCCATTGGTTCATAAATTAGAATTCTGGTCACCGAGGATCGTAGGTACAGCTCGTGTACCCAGTTGAACGGTACTCTGATATGCAGTGCTGCAGGTGTACTCTCCTCGGGTTGGAAACTAGCATGTCCAACTCTCTGGTACTTGATGAGTACTTGTTGCAGGTCACTGGACCGATAGGGAAGGGAAGTGCAATTTATGGATTAAATCTTGAATTGGGATAGTGATTAATTTAAATTTGGTTCCTGGCCCGGTAAGTTGCACTATAAGAACCAGTCTCGGTACATGTATAGGAGTCAAAGTACTAGTTTCACTTGATGAAAAATAGAAATATATGGATAACTGTACATGTAACTCCGGGTTTGATATAAATATTGTTTGGAATAAAGACGAAAAGTGATAGTTCATTTTGTACACAAACATTTTAAAATGCCACTTCTTGATATATGTAGACACTCTCGCTCCGACTCGCGACTAAAAGGTACACATAAGATTAGATACAAGTTACCCAAATGGTAACGTGTATCTAACCACCTCCTCCCTACACTAATCCTCATTATTTTAAATTTGCTCGGGTTACTTTAATAGCCATTTGTTGGTCCATTCTGTTTGTCCAGGTCATCTTGAAGCCTCGTGCTGTCTTATCTTAATCCTTCTCATAAGGTTTACAGATAATGCCAAAATTGAGAAATGAGTCTATACCCTTTGGAAGATAATTTACATGTATCTGAAACGGGATAGGTCCAAATACAGAATTCTGTGGGGGGAGGGGGGGAGTGTGGATTGCTGGTGATCCCATTCTGAGGTCTCGACCACCCCCCCTCACAGTAACACTGCTTCCTATTGCTTAGGTACTCCTTTATCCACTGGAGCACCCTACCAGTTACTCTTGCCCGTTTATTCAACTTGTGCAGCAACCTCTTATGGGATAATGTCGGACTTTCCAAGAGACCAAGAAAATGCAGTCTACTCACATTTCTCTTTATTGCTTATTCTTTGTCACCTGGTCATAGAATTCTATTAAACCTGTGGCGCAAGATTTGCCATCCCTGAAGCAATGTTGGTGGTGTCAGTCCCTTCTTTCCAGATGGGGATTGAGGAAAAACCTAGCAGCCCATCACCTTCTATGGTATACAAGTTAGGTACACTGGCCTGTAGTTTAGTGCCTCTTGCCTGTTTCCCTTTTTCCCTTTTTGTATACTGGGAGTACATTAGCCGTCTTGTATGTTTCTGTTGGATCTCCTGTTTCCAATTGCTTACTATACACCATGGAGAGTGGCAAGCAAAGTGCTTCTGCACACCTCTAGTATCCATGGTGAGATTCCGTCCGGTCCAACAGCCTTTCTCACGTCCAGATGCAACAGATGTGTTAAGACTTTTCTCTTAACCAGGCAACCTTCGATCCCTTCAAAGGCTGTCTGGTTTATTGCCACTTCTCAAAGATCAGGGACTTAAACTTGTCCTATTGTGAAGACCACATAGGAACATTAGAGTTCTTCACACACCTGTTATTGTGTACATGTTCACATCAGTTCTCGGTTTCATAACATGTTCTTTCAGTTTTCCTGTTGATGTGACTGGAGCAGCTTTGGTTCGGTCTTGGCTTTTAATTGTAAATGTCATTTTCATACCGTCTCTGCTTTTCTCACACTAGGAACTCATTCCTGGCTCTGGTGTTTCATTTTGGTAGTTCCTTCACGCCCTTCTTGCTATGCTTCCATACATTCGCCATTAAACCACGGGTTCCTCTTATTCCGCAATTTTTTCATTTTGACCTAGGTAAACTAACTTATTGCCTCCTGATACGTTAGACACACACAATCCATCACGTCTTGTACGGACTTTATTCAATTCTGTTTTCCCATGATATTTCGCGCGCGTGTTTTTAATATTTTAGCAGTGTTGTAAGAGTTTTAGGTTTGTGACCGGTATAGTTTTGTAACGGGTGTTGGCTCTCTAATACAGCTGATGATGCTGTATGCAATAACACACAAGATTACGCACTGCATGGCCCTTCGTTTGTTTTTGCCACACGTCCAGGAAAATGTTGGTGATGGTAGATGAGAAAGTATTAACATTTTAATTATGCATGCTAGTAAAAGTTTGTCCTTTGTGCAGACAAAGTGAAGTAGTTTGAACTAACAATGGTTTGTACAAATTTTGTTTTCCAGACGGGCAGGACAGATTCATACCGGCACGCTACGGAGAGAAGAGTCCCCGATGACAACCGGACCGTGAAAGGGGAACCCAAGGTAGCATCCTTTTAATAGGATAAAAAATACCTAAAATATGACCTTTTACTGTTGCTTTTCAGAATGTCATGTTAACTTTGCAGCAGTGTTATAGTTGCCTTTGTCTCTGCTTGCATGTTTAAATTTTGTTAATGTAATAATCACTAACATGCTTGTCATTGTTTGAAGTGCAATGAAAGCTAAACCTGTAACTATCTATCGTCCAGCTTTACAATCTTCTTTGGATCACTTTCCTCTTGCCCGATATGAAATATACCACGGCACGTCAGTGTAAAGCTATACTATCGTGGCTTTAAAGTAAATATTAGAATGTAGTAGGGCTATTTGCAATTTACTAAATTCTTGACTTTTGTTGTACTTGTCGGCTCAAATAACTGTTCTGTTAATTTTATTATGACTTCTCGTGATGGAATGAGACGACATAAGCTGTAGCTTCCGTTTCTAGTACTGGTCGGGTCGTGCCTGCTAATAGTTCGTCATTAATGCTTACTAGATATTGTATATAATGTACATAGAATTCTCTGTAAAATATAATTTAATTAGTAGTTAATTTTGACTTGTACCATTAAGACTTCCTTGTTCTTGGAGATTTTTTTTATCATAGCTTTAATGTATTATCATCCACTTTAAAGCCATGTGTTCACCTAATAGGCAGATTAAATTGTTTAGGCTTTCATACGACCTGCTATTTTTAACGTGTAACTTAATATACATCATCATTTTAAACATTAAACACTATTGCAGCCCAATACTACTCGACTAGTTGTATATAAATTTGTGATATACACGGCATATTAATCATCCGGTTTAAGGTTAGTCACTGTATTGTCGAAGACAAAAAATCTAAATTAAAGACACTTTTAGATCACTCTTATTTAATCTTGAAGCTCTACCGGTGTCCGACCAAGGGTGAAGAACATAAGATAGTGTAGAATGTTAACTTGATATTGTGATAGTCGTGCGTGTTTGTAGTGTGGCACTCTTAGTGAATTGAAACATTAATTGGATTTTAAGAAATGGAATATATTAAGATTTGTTAATATAAGTGCACCATTTTCCTTGGAGGATGGCACTCCAAAGGGTAACAAGCCTTGCTGGTAAGGCAAATACAAGAGAATTGTAGAAGTTTTTATCGGGAATAACGCAAGAGGGTGCACCGTAAATAATTAGTATATAAAGTAAAATTTCTTTGACAAGTTTTGACAAGTAGTGACACTGTCAAATATGTGACACAAGTTATACATTTTTTAATTGACTGATAATTTTATTTTAGTCAAAAAAGAAAATCTTCAAGCTAAAGCCGAAGAAGGGACAAAAGGATTTGGAGAAACTAAAGCAGGAGTTGGAACTTGATGAGCACAAGATCCCAATTGAGGAACTCTACCAGCGACTAAATGTTAATCCTGACAGGGTAAGTATCTAATGATTCCTTGGTGTCACTTTGCCTAGATCTCCACTAGACATATTGATGGGCTTTTCTCTAATCTTCCCACTATTTAAATACACGGAGGAACAATGGCTTATTTCAAATCGTGATAAATTGGTAGTATGCTAAGCTTTTCTTAACACTCGGTTTCGGGCAAGTCTCAAGGTTAACAAAGTTTTAAGTTGCAATATGAAGTAAGTTTTAAAGAATTAAAATGTGACTAGGGTAGAGAGAATTTTGCTGTACCAAACCTTAAGCCTGCTATTTGAGGTACGCCTTCAATTTTTAATGGCAGAGTTTTTAGTTAATATCTCTCTTCAACCTTCTAAAGTTTAGAGTAATTACTGTTGCAGGGCCTGACACAGGCAGAGGCTCGACGGCGAACTGAAAGAGATGGTCCAAATACCCTGACTCCCCTTCATCAGACTCCTAAATGGGTTAGGTTTTGCAAGAATCTCTTTGGTGGCTTTGCGTTCCTCCTGTGGATGGGCGCCATCCTCTGCTTCATTGCTGCCTCTATTGAGGCGGCTACAGTTGAAGAACCCAACAATGATAATGTAAGTTTGTGCAAACGTTCAGTACTACACATGAACCTCGGATGAATACACTATTTCTGCTCTAGATAAATGAATGTCACAGCTTTGTGTGACTGTTCTTAGATAGCTAACATAAATTTGTTTCATTTTTTTTGAACTGGTCATATTCTATATCCAATAGTATGGTTTAAATCTCTCCATTTAGTTGGTACACAACATGCATGTCTTGTGCAGTTTCAATGAGTCTCACAACTGGGAGCTGCAGAAAAAACTAAATAGTATACATTCAGACGTTACTTTGATTTCAAGAAAAAGAAGGTAGTCATTAAAGTGTGTAAATTTAAAGTGCGCCCTTACTTGGGGCACATGGGAACAGGCAACGAGGCCCCCACATCCGGCACAGGGACGTCCACCACCACATCCTTACCAACGACAAGGACCACAGGAGCCCTAGGCACACCACCATCCTCAGAGGACACCAAACACACTAATTTCCCCCACGTCCTCCCAAGCAACACCACCAGGGAGCGGCGACGCGGGAGACCTCCTCGTACATTTCGGGTCAAGTGGCAGGTCATTCGAACTGAACACCTCCAGCTGCGGACGAGGACTGATATCCACAGAGATGGCAGCCACAGCCGCCCCACCAGAGGAGCGGGCAACCTCCACGTGGGCAACTGCCCCAGGCCCCCCTTGCCCCCCACAACACCCGCAGAGACCACCGGAGGCACTGGACCAACCACCACATCAGGCACCACACAGCCTTTAGACCAGAGCAGCACCACCACCTGGCGCACAGGCAGCAGACTCCAGAGCACCAGACAGCACGTCCCCACCAGAGGGGGTGTCTGCAGAAACCACAAAGGCGGCACAGCAACCACAGCAGACGGAAACTCTGCTACAAGCTTGTCTGGTAGAGCACCCATGTTCGCATCGTCACACACAAGCTTCCGGGACCTCCAGAGGGGAAAAAAATCATCCTCCAGGAAGAGGTTCACTCTCCACGACAAGAATGGCAAGCCGCGGTCAGATGGCCCGACAAGCCGCACATATAACAAGTGCGAGGTTGACCAGCATAAAAACACTGGATGGAGAATGTGGCCATTAGCACTGTAGAGGACTGAATATCAGCCTTAAACTGCATAAGAAGGGTCAGTGTCCCATTCAACACCCCCATCAGCTGGAGGTGCAAGAAACGCAAATATTTAAAAAAAAAGCATAAATCTATGCTACAGCTGTTGAATTTGAAGTCTATTAGACCAATGTAGTGTTGTCATACTTAGTATGAAATCCTTTAGTTGCAAAACGTCGACTCGAACCTGCCCAGTGCTCACTTAGGCTCAGCCTGTTCGACTTCATAATTTATGACTGCAGTGGAAGTGTTATAAATATCTGTGGCAAATAAGGTCAAACAAGGTTGACAAATAACCTTGACAATTACAGCTCCTAAAAGACGAAGTTTAATGCCGTGGTAAAATTTCTCGTTTGCACAAACTGGTCTACAGTGGGTTATCTGTTGATTCTGGTAGTTTCCCAAGGCAAGATCGGTTGCCTGGAAGACAGGGCAGGCATTCACACACTTTGGAACCAGAGCAAGTAGGTAACTTTGTAAATTGTCCTTGTAGGGTCATGTCTGTGCAAGGGAGCACTGGAAAACCTAGTTCGGAATGATTGAAGAATAAGCCACCCAAGAGTTGGCACGGGCATGATTACCCAGTAAAGTTCGGAATGACCTTTCACATGTTTATATAAACTCCATTGGAGGTCAGTTGTGATGGCAAAGAAGACTTGGAAGGGTTTGAGTTTATATATAGTCTTCATACTTAGTGTTGATTTAGAGCGCTTTCTAGCACCAATCTCACAATAAGGATAGTTTGCAAAGGTTCCGGTGGCTCGGGACATGTTTCCCCATCATACAGCATGTTAAAGCTTTTTAAATTAAACACTGTCCAGGTTGCATGTATACTTTCTTAAACAATTTATTATGTATATATCCAGAGTAGATATCTTCAAGTATATCTTAATGTAATTAAAAAGTTATCGGTTATGTATATCATTATTTAACACCGTGTATTATTTTGCAGTTATACCTAGGAGTAGCGCTGTTGGGCGTAGTCATTATTACTGGCATCTTCTCCTACTACCAGGAGGCAAAGTCTTCGGCTATCATGGAGTCATTTAAGAAAATGGTCCCACAGGTAAATAATTTTTATTCCAGAATAGGTCTTCTGGCAACACAATGGAAGGAATGCTTACCACAAATAATTTTTCATTTTGTGCCCCTTAATTGTAGAGTTTCCAGATGAGAATCTTCCCCCCTCCCTTATCAAAGGCGAAAATGTCTGAATGTGTGCTGGAAAAAAGTGCTGGGTTATTTTTGTTAATTTTCTAGTGTTGCTGCTCAAATGGTCCAACATTGGACGAGGAAAGAGCACTATGGGTTTTTTGTTTGTGGTTGGCGACATTTGAAGAAAGTTATTCTGATAGATTCCCCCATTAATGTAAATTCGTTTGGGAAAACTAAAATTTTGTTGCAGGATATTTTAATTTTGTTGCCATCTAACTCGGTCAATTCTGAGAACATAAAAAAAAAATACATGGAACTACACTATTACTTTTTTTTTTCAAACAAATTATGGGTAGTGATGTAAATGGTGTAAACACTAGGGGGGCGGGGTCCCTGATAGCTGAGTGGGCAGCGCTTCGGATTCGTAGTCCTGAGGTTCCGGGTTCGATTCCCGGTGGAGGCGGAAACAAATGGGCAGAGTTTTTCACCCTGATGTCCTTATTTCCCTAGCAGTAAATAAGTACCTGCGAGTTAGACAGCTGCTACGGGCTGCTTCCTGTGTTCTTTACCTTTGTTTCTTCATTGTTCTCTGTTGCTGTCCTTTCTCTTTTTGATGGTGTCTATTCTTCAGTGGAATATTCGTGGATTTTGTGCCAACTTCCGGTTCTGGTTAAACTGGGTGTGTAACAAAAAGGAGGCCTGGTAGAGGACCGGGCCGCGGGAACGCTAAGCTCGGAAATCATCTAGAGATAAGGTGGTGGTTTGTGGGGGGGGGGGGGGGGTGTAGCATGGGTATTGGAAAAAAAGTTATTTTTCTTTTTCCTTGTAGCTAGTAGCATTGGGTTAGGAAATTTTAGTTCGACATAAATTTGTCAATGTATATATTCTTTTTAATTGTTTAAGAATTTTAATTAATAACCAAATTGAGAATGCAGTAAGTATTTATTCCTTCTCTTAGTTCGCTATTGTGATTCGTGACGGTGAGAAGCAGCACTTGCATGCTGAGGAACTGTGCATAGGAGACATCATAGAGGTGAAATTCGGTGATCGCGTCCCTGCCGACTTTCGTGTCACGGAAGGAAGAGGATTTAAGGTTGGTTTAATTCTGCACTTCATAGAAAATATATCTACTCTTAGACTGAAAATAATTGTTTAATCTTTCACAACCTTGCAGCGTAGTTTCCAAAGATGAATTCACTTGTATTTATTTTTAATGTGAAGTAATTTTTCATAGGTGGACAACTCCTCACTAACTGGAGAATCTGAACCACAAAGTCGTTCATCTGAATTTACATCAGACAACCCGCTGGAGACAAAGAACCTTGCTTTCTTCTCCACCAATGCCGTCGAAGGTGAGAATAGATTTTTTTTTTGGGTATAATAAAAATTGTGTTAAAACGTAAGAGCAGACTTATCTTCCATATTCTACATTATAGGTACTGCCAGAGGAATTGTGATCAGCATCGGGGACAACACGGTTATGGGTCGCATTGCTGGACTGGCGTCTGGTCTGGAATCTGGAGAGACGCCCATTGCCAAAGAGATCAACCATTTCATCCACATCATCACTAGTGTAGCGGTGTTCCTAGGTGTTGGCTTCTGTCTGATTGCCTTCATGATGGGTAAGTTATTAAAGCAATTGTGTTGTGAAATGAAGGCAAGTTTCCCTTCCCCACTATTGCAAGTAACTTGCCAATAATCTTTTCACCAAGTTGGTGGCGGGTGTTCTTTTCGTATGTGATAATTACATTAGAGTAGAAAATTAACACTAAAATTTTAAACGATCATTATAAATACGCGGAAAACACATGTTGCTTCAATTACCAACTAGTAAATAGCCAGTACATGGACCAGCATCGTGTGGAAATAAAGCTCACCAGAAGAGGGTCGTGAGGCAACAGACCTGACTTAAAATACCAGGACACCAAAGCGGGCATGGTTTATGGGGTATTCATGCCCGTTCCACCTTTTGGGTGGCTAAATCTTCATCAATCAGCAGGCACGGGGACAGGCGGGACCATAAGGGATGGGAGCACCTAGATAAACGGCTGAGAAAGAACCAATTTATTGCCATACTCCATATTTGAGCTAGACTCTTCGTTGCTCCCCCTAGTCAAATCTTCCACAATCGGAAGAAAGATGCACAAAAGAAAAATAGAAAAGCAGGGCACAGATTAAATTCCCACGGGGCCATAGGGATGAGCTTGCTCAGGTACCCTGACACACCTGCGGCCCAGGGTCTTGCATCATTGGGGGCACCTGCGAGACGCGCAAATGTGATCAGTAAGGGATAATACCCAAAGTAATCCTCGAAAATTCCCCTTCATACACCATTTCGAATTGCTGGACACTAACGACTGGGTGTTATGCCATGAAGCGAATACTTCAGCGAGATATTTGCAGTAAAGCCTCTGGCAACAAATTAACAAAATCGGCCTCTGCATCACTAGATATGAATGGGGGGAATGTATTCCAGGGAAACTGGGAGGCTTCTGGTTCCCGGATCCTGTTCTGGTGAATTTACCACTTGTGTGGTGGCAGTTGACGAAATATCAATAATTGGCTTTGCTTGCAGTTCCAGCGACTGCTTGCAGAGGAATGTTGAACAGCTTTCGGCTCTATAAGTAGAGCGAGCGGTCATTGTTATGAATTAGACTACCCTGTCCCACCCCCAACTACATAAAACCATGTCTATCCTCTCTATATCGTCTTTGACTAATTGAAGAAACCACGGGGCCTAATTCAGGAGTTAGGCTCTAGTTTTCTATGATAGGTTGCTTGATAAATGGTATCCATCATGCAAACTATGCGTAGCTTCTTGGTAGTCATTGATGTTTGCAAACTCTGGATACTCGTGCTCAGTGTTATATCCTACATATTTTTTTCAATTTTTAGATTACACAGAATAAAATTTGATTAACAATGAAGTAATTTATCGTTGTCTTGGCAGTTATTAAACTTTGCTCTTGGTAAAATGTGAAAACAACCAGTATATACTATTGTACTAGTCGGTAGTCACAATAATTTAACCCCTTTTAAAGTAATATTTGAAAATTTAAATAGTGTAATATCTCGATCTGTGGTAACTTAAATTAATTTTTCAGGCTACCACTGGTTAGACGCTATAGTGTTCCTCATTGGTATCATCGTAGCCAATGTACCTGAAGGTCTGCTTGCCACTGTCACTGTCTGTCTCACACTCACGGCCAAGAGAATGGCGGCCAAGAACTGTCTTGTCAACAACTTGGAAGCTGTTGAAACTTTAGGGTCCACCTCCACCATCTGCTCGGATAAGACAGGTACCCTGACTCAGAACCGCATGACAGTGGCCCACATGTGGTTTGATAACACAATCATTCAAGCTGATACATCTGAACTCCAATCTGCCTGTCAATATGACAAGTCATCTCAAGGATGGAAGGCACTATCCAGAATTGCTGCACTCTGCAACCGAGCAGAGTTTAAAACTGGACAAGATTCTATCCCTATCATGAAACGCGAAGTCCATGGCGATGCTTCAGAAGCTGCTCTGCTTAAATGTGTTGAACTTTCTGTTGGAGATGTAACTGGCTGGCGAGCACGAAACAAAAAGGTATGCGAAGTTCCATTCAATTCCACAAATAAATACCAATTATCCGTACATGAAAACGAGGATAAAAGTGACCCCCGCTACCTCCTTGTCATGAAGGGAGCCCCCGAGAGGATCCTGGAACGCTGCTCGACCATCAGTATTAATGGTGAAGATAGGGTTCTAGATGAAGAGCTAAAGGAGTCCTTCAACAATGCCTACTTGGAACTAGGGGGTCTTGGAGAGCGTGTACTTGGTTTCTGTGACTATATGTTGCCTGCTGATAAGTACCCTCTTGGATATCCCTTTGATTCAGAGTCTATAAACTTCCCTGTACATGGCCTTCGTTTTGTAGGATTAATGTCTATGATTGATCCTCCTCGAGCTGCTGTACCCGATGCTGTAGCGAAGTGCCGATCAGCTGGAATAAAGGTAATCATGGTTACAGGTGATCACCCAATCACTGCCAAGGCAATTGCAAAAGGTGTGGGCATAATTTCTGAGGGTAGTGAAACTGTTGAAGATATTGCTCAGAGACTGAACATCCCTATTAAGGAAGTTAACACCCATGAAGCAAAGGCAGCTGTTGTCCATGGCTCCGAACTGAGAGAAATGACTTCTGAGGAGTTAGATGAAGTTCTCATTCATTACAATGAGATTGTGTTCGCCCGTACTTCACCTCAACAGAAACTGATCATTGTTGAAGGTTGTCAGCGCATGGGAGCCATTGTTGCCGTGACTGGTGATGGTGTTAATGACTCTCCTGCTCTCAAGAAGGCTGACATTGGTAAGTTTTGTTTGGATCAAGTTGCTAGTTGGAGGTCCTCGTGAACGTTTGATGAAAATATAAGATTGGTAATTTTGTAGCTCTGTGTTTTTCTGAATAGTAAAAACTTTTGCTTCACTCAGGTGTTGCTATGGGCATCTCTGGATCGGACGTGTCCAAACAGGCTGCTGATATGATCTTGTTAGATGACAATTTTGCTTCCATTGTCACGGGTGTTGAGGAGGGCAGACTCATTTTTGACAACCTCAAGAAGTCAATCGCCTATACTTTGACCTCCAAGATTCCTGAGATGTCTCCATTCTTGTTCTACATAATAGCCAATGCGCCCCTTCCCTTGGGAACTGTTACCATCCTCTGCATCGATCTGGGAACAGATATGGTTAGTTACCTTACTTTAATTTACCTAATATTGTAAAATAATTTCAAATCTCGCATATCATTAATTAGCAGAATATTTAGGATTAATGTCTATGATTGATCCTCCTCGAGCTGCTGTACCCGATGCTGTAGCGAAGTGCCGATCAGCTGGAATAAAGGTTATCATGATTACAGGTGATCACCCAATCACTGCCAAGGCATATCATTAATTAGCAGAATATTTAATGCAAAATGACTAAATTTTGCTTTTCATCTTGGATAATTTAACTTTTTAAATATTCGAAATGTGTCTTTTGATTACTAATTCACTTTTTAAAACTTTACATTTGATGTTTGATTTTGGTTTAAATGTTCCACATATTTAAATTTCTCAATTAAAAATATATTTGAACAATTTGGTATAAGTAATTTAGTACAGAAATTTAACTTTACAAAAGCTCTGGTAACTTGGAACCCTGATGAGTGTCTAGAACAAATCCGCATTCTAAAAACTGTAGTCTTGCTAGGATATCACTTGTATAAATCGGTTCATGTTGTTGAGGAGCGACTACGATAGAGGGATTGGATGCGCCTATACATAAATTCATTTCTGGTTCTTTTGAAACGTTCGCTCGCTTACATAACACACTTGGTGGTTGTAACTACGAAAATCCAGAAACTATCAACAATTTTTCCTGTAATCAGTTCAACAACAACTACTACTTGATCCTCTAATATACAATGGGCTTCGTGTAAATGTAATAGACCCAACACAAGCTTCAGTGAAGTCTGCATAGAAGGTGCAAGGTAATGCATAGAAGAATTGACAAACTCAATGTTCACGAAATGGAAGATTTTTATTGGAATGGCAAAAACAATGGTTATAATAATGTAAGCTTTAAAAGTGAAAGAGAATCGGACTTGAAAACTTAAATACTGAAAGGTTCCTTTTTAGGGCCAACCCTTGTTGTATACTTCGACGTAGATGACAATCGCAATCCAAATATAATCTGCAGATGATAGTAAAGTGGGACGCGGAAGTAATTATCAAAGGCACCAAGCTGGGAAGGCTATGAAGCACCACCAAATGTTCGGAGTAATCGGAAGGCGCCAAATATTACAAAGGATGCCAATACGAGAAAAGAAGCGCACAAGACGAACGATATCAAAAGTATCGGATACACCAAGAATTCTGTCGAGGGACAATTGACCGCGAGAGACGGTCGGAAAGCAAGACACGCTCGTCCTGGAAGTCAGGACATTCAACAAGAATGTGCACGATCGTAAGAGGAACAATGCAATTTGGACAATAAGGAGCAGTGGTGCTCTATTGTGTGGGAAGCGGAAAATGCTGTTCAGTATAGGAAAACTTTACCTTGACTGTAACATTACCCACAACATGACCATGAAGCACATTGATGAACCTAGAGTAATAATAACCCAGCCACTGAAAGGAGCTCTCTGTAATAATTTACTTCTTGAGGGGAAAGTGATTATTCAGCTATACATCTATCTGGTGATAGCTTAAGAATCTGTAGAGTTTAGAGGGACACCTAACTCGAACTAAGACAATCTGAACCCTAAGAGATGGCGCACGACTGCTAGCAAAACAATACGGTTCAGGTTCACAAGGGTTTTTAAGTCTTAAGTTTTCTGCCTGCACGACTGCTGCAAGATGGATATATATATCCTCCCTGGTAGCTGGTAATCAGGTTTGTCTTTTTCCTGAAATAACAGTACTCTCGCCACCTCATTTAGGAATTTAACTCGATCTGTTTCATCTTGGTCATTTCCTGTTTCATCTTGGTCATTTCCTTTGTTAACGCAACCCTCTTCTTGGGTGTTTCTGTTGCTTCAACAGTGCAAGCGAGGGGAAAACAAAGGTTTAGAGAGAATGCATGATGCTGCAGCCTGACGGTGGCAAGGCAAAACATGCTTGTTAGGACTGTTAGTAACCGGTATGCTATTGGCGAGCACGTGACCTCATTGGGACTTTGAGTAACCTAGGGCATGTAATTTTAGGTAGTTTCTTGACTGGATACATAGGGGTGCAAGTGTTAGGAATCTATGACCAAGCAGGAATGAAATACTCCCTTTGGCAGAGAATAGGGAGTCACTTTCAGTCCTCCTGACTGAAATGAAATTTCAGCTCTCCTGGTTATGAAATTTATACAACACTCTGAAACGGTAAACTCTGTCTGTAAAGTGCCAACACCCTTATCAGTTTTTGTCTGTTCTAGGAGATGCATGTATACTCTGTTCAAGCTTATTTTTTTTTTTTTTTTTGAATGTCTAAAATGCAAAAGGATCCAGTACTAAAAGTAGTCAAAGCACAGCCGACCGACTTGATTACAGGAGCCATGATTCACGTACTTTTCTAATTTTTAGAATTGGGTTTCATATTAAATGGCTGAAATACAAAAGTTCAGTGGTGGTTCTTCATTTTCACGAATTGTCAATGGTTTTAAATTACAACGAACTAACACTGAATGTCTTAAGTTTTACAAGGGTTTAATATGATTTTATTTTAATATGATTTTAATATGAAGGACTTAATATAATTTTATAAGTTTTAATATGAAATGTTTAAAGGTGTAGGTGCCAAATAGGACAGATAAAGACTACAGGGTGTGTTATTGTGTGCTCATCTTTATTTAATCTTGTACTAGAATTTCCAGCCGTTATTTAACACCTCTGTAGGCATGGTTTTTGAATGTTACTTTGTTTTACATAAAGAAATAGACTATAATTTTATTAATTTTTAGGTGCCAGCAATTTCCCTTGCCTACGAAGAAGCTGAATCTGATATCATGAAGCGTCAGCCCCGCAATCCCTTCACCGACAAGCTGGTGAACGAGAGGTAACGATTAATTTAGACATGTTAATATTTATTCATTAAAAGTATGTACTAGTCTCTTCCCCAGACGAATCTACCAAAGAGCAAGTAATTATCAAAGAAGGCACAAAACCGGGAAGGCTATGTAGCACCATCAAATGTGCGGGATAATCGGAGAGCGCTAAATATTACCGAAAATGCCAATATGAGAACAAACGCATAAAGTGAACAATATCAAACGTATCAGATTCACCAAGAATTCTATCAAGGGACAAGTGACCGCGGGGGACGGTTGGAAAGCAAGACACACGCTCGTGTTGGAAGTCAGGACATTTAACAAGGATAAGCACAACTGTAAAAGGGACAATGCAGCTAGGACAATGGAGTGCTGTCCTCCTCCTTAAGTGTCCGCGAGTTAAGAGCGTATGGCCAATGTGCAACCTTGCCAGAGCCGTTTCCCACAACCCTGCCAACGGGCAAGGATGGAGGAATGAAAAACTAGGTAAAAGTCGGAATAAGGAATACCTTCACGGGAGATGGGACGAGTGCGGATAGCTTCCTTAGCGGCAGCGTCTGCACACTCATTTAAAGACGCAAATATGGCTTCGAACTCGGCAAAACTCAACTATCTTAAATATACTAGAGATGAGAAACGACTAGTGTTGAATCTCGACTACCACCGAATGGACTGGGTTAAAGGACTCTAGAGCCATAAAGGCATTGCGAGAGAGTACTACAACCACAAAGGAGGATTGATAGCGAGAAAGCAGGAGACGAAGAGCATAGAGAATAGCATAAAGTTCTGCCTTGAAGATGCTAGTCTCTGGAGGCAGGCGAGGCATATAGGTGTGGTCAGGAAAAAGAGTAGCCCCACACCGTCTGCAGACTTAGACCCATCGGTGAAGATGGAAACGGAGCGGGAATGTTAAGAAAAGTGTTCAAGGAAAAGGCGTTTCAGAACTGTAGGAGGGGTAAAAGCTTTAGTGATGTGGGTCAGGGAAGCTTGCTGTTTATGGGTGTGAATGTTAGTTTTATGGCGTTGTGAAGGCTTCCATTTTCTGGACTGGATTTTACTACACTGCTAGGAAAGTGTAAGATATCTAGTGTCCTATTAAACTAACAATAGTTAAATGTTTCAATTATCATTGTCAAATTAACCTGCACCATATTATCTCTACATGTGTAAAGATATTTATTTGATAAATCTTTAGACCATTGTACAAACTTTAACCTTGTGCATGTGTTTCTGCCGGATTTATCTGCAAAATTATTTTGCTGATCATGTTTAAATGCTAGCGGTTAGAACTGTTAATATTCAAAGCCTACCAGGGGTTGGATGGTTTTCCACTAGGCATATTCAGGTGTGTTTGGGAGGGGGGGTCTCAATCTTTCGCTGATATTTATAATTCATTGTAGAGTACGAAATTGGGCACGATTAGGGGTTTCCAATATTTTTATATAGCCACTAATCGGCGCTTCGTGCAAAACGTATTAATGTGAATGGTTTTAATTACTAAATTTTGGGATAACAAATAATACGAAGTTAATTTATGTAAATATAGTTAATTAGTAAGGTAGCATTAAGGAATAGAAATATTTTTAAATCATAGATTTTATAATTGTATTGGTAAAGTTATACCAAATTTACAGTATATAATTATAACACTGGCTTTATTAGGATGAGGTATAAACAATTGTTACTTGTAGAAATAAAACTACCAAATTAATTTTTTGAATTTATAATTAGAGCTGGCGGCTCTGCTTTAGCTTGACCTTTCACCTCCTGCCTTTTAGTCTGTTCATAGTCCTTGATGTGCCGCTTGGGGGGGGGGGGGTCTCAAGAGGTGCAGTAGCTCAGGCGAGTTATTGAGGGGGCTATCACAGAAAATGTGATGTAATGAAATGGCTTTCTGGCAAACGCCTAAGGTAAATCTTCCTGCCGTCCCTCTTCCTATGTCGACATTTGCATGGAGGGGGGGGGGGGGAGGCAAGTCTTGCGGAAAGGTGCTAGTTTCCAATGGGTGGAAAAATAAAGGTAGCCTGTTGTCCAAAACATCCCTTGTCATAAGCTCGATGACGCTATTGAAGTATTATGGTTAGTAGGGAACGCTTAAATATTTTAAACAATCCTTGCAATAAATTTATTTTCAAGTTATGACCTTTTTAAAATCTTTAATGCAAAACATTCTTGTAAAAATCTTTCTAACACTTCAATTAAATGGTTTTGACATTTAAGCATTTTAAACCATTAAATTTGAGAATGTAAATGTATTGACAACGTATTCATCATTTACTACCCAACAGGCTCATCTCCATGGCCTATGGTCAGATTGGTATGATCCAGGCCGTGGCAGGATTCTATGTCTACTTTGTCATCATGACTGAAAATGGCTTCCTTCCACCTAAACTCTTCGGTATCCGTGCAAAATGGGACTCGAAGGCTATCAATGATTTGGAAGATCATTATGGCCAGGAATGGGTTAGTATTTGTAGTGATTTTAAATCTTGGTGCACTCTACGCAGCCCTCGATATTTTAGTATTTTTTATTCTATTCAAGAATTTACTTATATTGAAGTTAATTTATCCTTTAAAGTTTAATTTGTCTAAAGACCCCCACATTAGCATGATAGATTTGAATGTTTTTGTGAAGAACCTGGAAAGAATACCAGAGAATAGTGACACTGTTACCAGAAGTGGGGAAAAGGGGGGGGGGGGGGAAAGTTGGGCAAGATTCGGCCAAGAGTTTGTTCTTGTTGTTGTTAAGATTCGCTACTCAGAACGATAAGTTCCAGTAGCACGGGCTATGGTGAGCCCGTAAGTGGAGGCTCTTTGAAGCCATTATCTGTATCAGTGGCTGATACTAGAGATGTGGCGATGGATGGGGGTCTTCATGATGGTTTTCAGCCTGGAGGGTTGGCTATACCAGTTATGGAGCTGGTGGGGTTAGTGTAGACCTCTAGGTTTTCCGTTTTTTCTTTGCCTGCGACTTTGGCTGAGCAGTGCTGTCGTTAGTTTGGTGACGTGGCCTCCATGGGGAAGTCTTGAATCGTGTAGGTGTCGTATTTGTGATGCGGCGGTGGAGCTCCTACTATGATTTCCTCGTCTGAGGAGTCCGTAACCTCCGTAGTGGGCGTTTTTGTCTTTCGCCTCGCAGCCTTGGGTAGGTGTCGTTGATTGGTTGTTGTAGCTATTTCAGGAGCGCTGGTGGTGCTGTTATCGTTTGTAGACAACACGTCTGCTAGCGCGGCTGCCGAGATAGTGATGGTAGGAGTCCAAGAGTAGGAAAGGGTATCTTTATATTCACAATTTCGAGTTATGTCTACTTCGACTTGTGGCAGGCAACCGAACCCTCGAAATGGACCAACCTTTCTCTCTCGTATAATATATATACGCGTGCACACGTACATTTCCGGTTGTGACTTGTCGCCTGGCGTTTGGTCCACATACGTCGGCACAATGTCTCCAATTCCGATTCCTGATTTTTCACATGCCATGTCACTTTCGTCGGCTCGTTGATTAGAATATTACCTTCCGTCCAAACTCGTCTGGCACATGCATCGTTGAGGCTTCAAATGTTGTGACTGGTTGATCAAACGACCGGCCTCGGGGCCGTTGATCCCCGGAAGCTATACAAGGTAGCCATAAGGTAGGTAGGACCACCGAGGTGCCCTCTGGCGTTGGTGGGGTCCCGTTCATGTCTCGGTTTATAGTTGAAGACCAGAATCGGCAATGTCGTTCTCCCGTCCCATATTGCAGCCGGGACCTTAGTGATTGCCACACGTTGAGGCCATTTTAGTATTTCAGGGACATTCTCTTTTCAGATTAATTGTTCATAGTGTTCCAAACGTCTTCGTTACAAATGCTTTCCATAATCTTTCCCCCTTTCACCCTTGGCAATTCTTTGGTGCTATCCTTGCAGTGCATGTATACATCCTCTCCGCATCTCTGCAAAAAGTGCTAGTTTTGACTTGTAGTAAAATAATCTTTTGTCCTTAATGTACAGATTACATCCACACTGATGGTTACTCTACTTGTTACATTAACTGTCTTGATGCTGCCGGTCGTATATTTTATATAAATTCGAAAAAGCTATCCTTAACCTGAAACGAAGAATTTACATCCTAATCCGAGGCAAGACTAACTAGGATCTTAGCATCTTGATCTATTTCTTCTGACTTGTGCTCGTAAGGTGTTGGAACCGTCAGGCCTTATGATTCTGTTCTGTAACTGTTTTAAAGCTTCAATTCTGAATCCTCCACCAGCTGCAGTCTGGTGCCAATTGTTTTCCTCTAGTTTCTCCACCCGCTCGTTACTATCCTGTCTTCCCAGCCATTTCTGTACGTCCTCTTTAAATAGTTCCACACAATGCTTCTTAACCGTTTTTGGGTATTCTGTAGCTAATGAGAGATGTTCCAGCCCTAGGTGTCGTTCGATATCATCAGTCTTTTCCCCTCTGCCTTTTACCCTCCCAGAATAATAACCATTATAGCCAATGTTACCATTCTTCCAATTAACCATTCCTTTGAAAATAGCGGTGAATTAAATCTACGTTCATTCTGCCTCTGCCTTCAGACCAGAAACGAAAACATGGTCCCTCCCTCCTTTTTGTTCCGAGGGATAAAAATTCCCTACTCTGACCCAGCTGTCTCCTCATCGTTCGTCTCCGGTCATTCTTGAATCTAGTACTACTCTTGCTCTAGAATCTGCTGCCTTGAGTCGACCCCACTTCCTCGAGTGTTCTCTGCTGCTGCGTTCTACCTCGCCTGATAGTCTGTTCACGTGTTCTATGCACTGCCCCATTTATCTTTGCTGAATTTACCTCTGACCTTGATACTAACGTGTGATCTCCTTGATATTTTGTCTTTAATAGTGTCTTAAATTTTGTAGTTTTACAAATGTCTGGCATGAAAACTTCCATATAATAAGCTACATCCTTTGCTTTCAATAATCCATTTTGTGTCCAGGATCCAATGATTGGTGTTCATGCTGGTTACTTCTGCACTTACGCATTTTTATCCCCCGTACCTCTTCCATATGCAACTAGCTCAACTGCTCTTTTAATTTTATTGTTCCGATGATGTTTGTTATTCATGAACATTCGTATATTTATTGGTCACACAATTAGAAATATAATTTTGGTTTTGCATCTATTCAGAAAATTCATTTGCGTTCTTTGACACTAAATGTTATAACCTGAAATAACCTAGACGACTTTAGCGACTAGAAACATCGTTGAGTGGACTGCGAACCGCCCAGAAAATTTATAGTTGGTATAGCGCGGAGTGGCTGGACCCCAAAAGGGTTAACTTGGAATGCTGTACACTTTATACCCATATTCAAACGTTCATGTCAATGCTAGCGATGTTTCTCTGCTCCTCTAACATATACAAAAGATCTGATATGGTGGGTCAATAACCCACCATAGACCATCTCCCATCCTCTTATCTCTTCTTTTTTAAATACGGCTTCTCATCGATCTGATAAAATTGGGTAAAGCGGACTGGAATATTCACTACCCTTCCTACTAATCACTGGAAGTCTGATTTTCCTGTTCCTTGCCCCTTTTTCATCTTGCCTTGCTAGATGCTGCCTGTCCTTCCAATCTACGTTCCTTAGTGGAATTTGAGTTTTGTCTGCCTTGTTTGTTATAGGCTTCCCGCCTTGGACAAATGGTCACCGGCAGACACTAGACTTTTCATAGTTTCAGAAGGCTAGTGTGTGGCCCATAGGGCTGTTTGTATAGGTGAATTTTAGTTAAAGCTCCTACTTCACTAATACTCTGCATTCCTCTTCCCCATATTTGGAAGATCTGCAAGGTGACAGGTAAATTTGTTAAAGGTGTAGTTTGTCCTTCATTTGTGGTTGCATTATTGTTAAACTGGTTTTGATTGCGAAGGATCTAGGTTTGCCTTCCTTGGTCATTAATTTCAGTCCTTGTTTACCTTCTCTGTTCCTCACTCGTTCGGTCCCTCACTGAATTTCACCATTTTTTGAATTGTGCCATTTTTTTTTCTCCTTTGCAAGCTTCTCAGTCTCTGGGCTAGACGGTGGCTGCCCAGCGTATTTCGTGACGTCGCCCATGGACCCTTCAAAGTCTTGACAATTGGCATCATATGGGTTGCTACTGGTTTTGATGCTTTTGTTCATACCACGATAAACAGCTTGCATGTTATCGGCCACTAAAAGGATCGTTGCTATCGGTAATACCTTCGTTACTTCACATAACTGAAATGCTCCAACTCCTCGTATTTTCACTAGACCCATCTAATAATCGTCTAATCTTTAGTTTATTACAAGGATTGCTTGTTTACCTGATGTTCTGTGTATGTTAACAATATTTCTCTTGGTATTGTTCCTACCTCATCCCTGTAGAGGATGCTCACTTGACCTTTTGAATGCCCCTAACTTTCACAGTGAACACTAAAGAAGTAATCTGATTGGAAACGTTCCCAGCTATTCGTGCACTACTGTTCAGATAGTCGAAGTCTGCCGAGTGTTAGCTACTCTGTAGTTTTTTCCTGCTAAAACCTACCTGTGCTGGTGGCTCCCATAGCTTGATATTTTTTATGGCAAACCTTTGAGATTTTATGCTAAAAGCCATTTGCTTTTTATTTGCTTTTTATGTGCCAATGTTCCTTTATTCTGGTTGACTTCAAGAGACCTCATGGCTCAACGTCATATTGGTGCACGCTTAACTCGTCGGCATTTGAAGGAACAGACTTGTATATTTGTCCAAATTGCACTGTCTGCCTTATAGATGTGCACCTTGTAAAATGTCCTGATTTTCATTGTCTTGCTTTCCCAACGGCCCGAGTTGGATGTCCTTCACTTGTTTTTTGGTAAATTAATGCCTTTGACATCTTTAATCTTGTTTTGCTTTTTGCGCTGACACCATGAATTAGATTGACTTTTAAAGATCCCTGGTCTTCCTGGCTGGGTTGCTGCCTTTTGATAGTAGAGACTACTGCAGTTGCGTTGCGGCATCATGGGATCATCACTGCTATAGAGGCCTCGCAAGATTGCAACCAAGTTACTCTTTTCTTTAAAGTGGTTTTTACAAATTTGATAGCGATAATGTTTCACTAACGTGTTTGTATGCTCGCATACATGCCGAATTAAAATAAAATTGTCTTGTATTGCACAAGGTGTTGTGATGTATGGGTTAATTTTGAAGGATTCGTGTATTACCATACTACAAACCAGGTAAGGGTGATACTTCATTACTTCTAGTAAATTATGCTTGGGAACACGAAGTGTTCAGCCAGCCAGCCAGCACACTTGAACTTCTCTTGCCCCGGTACTATTTTTTCATGGTCAAAATTCCTGGTAGAATCTTTGTTGCCGACAGCGTCCAGGTTCTCACAGGGAAAAAATCTGAATCCAGAAAATTTGTTACACATTAAATATCTTTGAGATTTATTGTCTTTTGCTGGCGAAATGCTTATATATTCAGCAAGTGAATAATTAAAAAAAACGTAAGCCTAAAAATTATGGGTGGTAATTTTTTTTATTGCAAATTTGAATTCAGCATAAAACATTAACATTTTTCGTGTTTGGTTATTTTCCTTAACGAAAATAACATTGGTTAACTGCATAGTTAATGATGGAAACAAAGGAAGGAAAGATTAATTACTTTAAGGAGCAGCTCTTGCCCAGTATACGCACTAACATAAATTACAAATGTTCGTAAATTTATCGACTAAAATTTAGTTCTTGTAATAAAATAATGGCCCTAATTTTCATATTTTTTTTTTTCCCAGACCTACACTGACCGCAAAATTCTAGAGTACACATGTCACACAGCTTTCTTTGTGTCAATTGTGATTGTGCAGTGGGCAGATCTCATCATCTGCAAGACCCGACGTAACTCGCTTTTTCACCAGGGAATGACGTGAGTACTTAAATTCCCTAACAAGGGGCTGTTAAGTATGTTGCCTCCTTTATAGCAGTAGTAGCTGATTGTGGTAGGTGGTTTTAAAGACATTTTGTACAATGTGGAACTTTTTTTCATCAAAGTCAAATAGCTTCCATTAATTTATTTTGTCCATGTATAGAATGCAACTAACAATGTGACTGTTTTGCAGGAACATGGTGCTTAACTTTGGTTTGTGCTTCGAAACTGCCCTGGCTGCTGCTCTCTCATACACCCCAGGAATGGACAAGGGTCTCCGTATGTACCCCCTAAAGTAAGGATTATTTTCTAGTCTTGTTCACAAATAAAATTATTTGGGAAAGAAAACCAGGGAAGTAATGAATTAAGCCCTCGAACTACACTGAAAGAGGTTAAGAATTTGGTTAACACAAGTTTAGCCTATTAAATGTTCCCCATGGCAACTTCGTTAGCAGTTGTTGGGTTTCATGCTTTGCTTTACCCATTAGGCTGCAAGTCCTAAAGACATCTAGGTGTGGAAGTGCAGGGGTTAAAACAGGCACTGGGATCGGAAGGTAATTCAGCGCGAGTGACTTTAAGGATCGAGAAGGGGGTTATTATTGAAAATTAAAGCTTGGGATGGGCATTAGAAGAGATATGAAAGCTAGAGCGTGCATCCCGTTTATCCTGCCTGTTGCAATGCTTGCATTAATAGTAAATTTTATTCGATAATTTTCCTTTACTTAAACCGATATTTAATTGAATTTCCACTACGCACGGCGAAAGGAAATGCTATAAATCCGTCAGATGTGAAAACAATGAACTACTTGAATAACCTCTTGAGAGGTTAACATGCACAAGCATTCCTTTATCCTAAATTGCATTAGACAAAGCAATGTAAAACTTAATAGGAGTCTTTATTAAAAGGAAAATGCATGTGTTGGACAAACGCCTCGTCAGAGATTGGTGTCACAAATAGTCTTGTGCAACAGTCGCCAGTGGTCCTCCGCTGGGACTAATCTTGGGCCACTACCACCCCCCCCCCCCCCCGTCCTTCCTTCTCGGTCCTCCACCACTACCACCATTACCTTTTATTCTTTACATCCCTTGTATTAATTACACTGGTCATTACTCTATTAACCATTTTGTTCATAAATACCAGCTTAATGCATTTTCATAATGCCAGCTTAAGGCTACCGTTCTTGATTTGTTATAACATTGAACCAAATTTTGCGTAAATGTTTATTCAGGTAAAATTATTTATGAAAGATGAGTTACAATGTTTGATTTCTAGATTAAAGCTAGTACATAATATGCCTAAAGCCATTAATACGCACAGCCATTTGGACAAAGTTTGGTGCAGTCTTCATTTGAGAGGATAGGTCCTAATGAGGCTAAATACTGTATCCTTTGAAAAAGTCTGTAGTTTTGTAATCATTTGTAACTGTGGTCGTTAACCATTTCAAAGGTCGCGTTGTGTAAAATGCATTTTTCTTTCCAGGTTCTACTGGTGGCTGCCAGCTCTTCCCTTCTCGCTACTCATCTTCGTTTATGACGAGTGTAGACGTTTCCTCTTGCGCAGAAACCCTGGAGGCTGGCTGGAATACGAGACATATTATTAACGTTTATGGAGCACAAGAATTAGAGCTAGTGGCAATCACCACCACCACCAGCATGCATAACTGTTGCCAATACTAGTTTCTATGGTGCCTGATAAAGAAAAAATTGGTATCTTGACCTTCAAGAACTTGCTTGAAGGTCAGGCTGAGAATATTTAGTAAAGAAGTTGGCTGTAATGTGATCCTCTAACACTTCTATCATGCCGATGATTTAAATTAATGTCAGTTTTAAAGTTTAAATAGGTAAATGCAAAAAATGTCATATCCCGGATGACTTTTCTAATCTTTTAATTTGTTATACATTTTAGCGCAAGATAGTCATTGCTACAGAATTACTGTAGTGTAAACCATAATTTGACTGTAAACCCCAATCTTCATGAAATTCTTAATTGATACTTAATAATTATCCGTATTTGTAGTAATTACAGCTGTACTGCTCGGACCTTGTTCCACGTTTGTTGGGTTTAATACTTGTTATTTTAAGTTCATATATTAACATTTTCTGCATGTGCTGTAAAATAGGAGACAATAAATTTTAACATACACAATTTACTTTATCCCCATTACAAAATATGGTCTTGCCTGTACCAACTTCGCTGAGGTTTGAAATCTATTTTTAAAGATTTAATTTTAACTTTCAGTAATAGTAACTGATAATAGTGGTTTGTCTAGTTCTTCCATGCCCCTTCCGCCCCCCCCCCAAAAAAAAAAAAAAAAAAATCCTGAACTCTATGCATTGGGCCTAGTGAAGGCCATTTAGGAAGTTATTAAAATTGGAACAAATGCATTACTAGTATAAATATAATGGTTTTATTTTAAGCCAAATTATAGCGGTGGTCATGACTAAGACAATTTGGCTGGAAAAACCCATCTCTACTAGGTGCCAAGCCATAAAGGCATGCTTTATTATAAAGCAGCAGATAGTCAAAGCTAGTTTATAGCAAATGACCACCTAACCTTCACACGCTTGCACAGTACTGAACAAAGTTTGGAAAGGTATTTGGAACAACCTTGTGCAATCAATCTTAGTACAATGTAGTCTATTTTATATTAAGAGCGCACTTAGTGTAGCCAGTGTAACAGATAATCTTGTTGATGGTAGGAAGAGCCTTGGGCCATCTTGAAGGGGAGGGAGCCAAGGAATACTTTTCTTTCAGAAGGGCCACCTCACCAGAAGACAGTGAGGGGTGTAGCTCCTGCCCTCTGGCGGTGCACATGCTAAATATCTTGACTGCTACTCTACCATTACTCTTGAGTGTTGCGTTGCCATTATCTTTAACCTTTTCTTCCCCCCCCCCCCATTCCGGAATCATTTCCAAACTTCAAACCCTAAAGCCTCCACCAGCTCCCCTTCTACACTTCCCAATTCTGTGGCAGCAAGTGTTCCTCGTGGATCTCCGACTATAGTTTCCAGCCTTCCTACCCGCCAGGTTTGGACTGCTACTCTATTTCTTCCATCGTGCTCGCCTTCACTTTTCGGCCCCATATTTCGTCTCCGTCTTTTGCCAACACCCCCCCCCCCTCCTCTGTCCGCCCTTGCCTGAGCGGACAGGTATGGACAAGTTTTCGTCTTCGTGTAATCGGCTCTCGTTCTCCTTCTCTGACCAAGACTATGGAGGTCGGAGAAGGTACATCCGTACGTTGTACCTTCTGGTACAACGTACTTGTGCCCAGAGAGGGTACATTGACCAGTACGTCGCTACTGGCACGCTTGCATGTCAAAAACGGAAACCTGATTCTTCTTCTTCTTCCTCCCCGAGCGGGTAAGAAGGCCACTGTCCCTCTATCCCCCAATTTCCTCTTCCGTCTTGGTTCCTGCCTCTCCTCCCGTCTCGGTGGAGTCTGTTGATCTAGGTCCAAGTTGCCGTAGCCTTTGATGTTGTCCCTGATGACTGTCGTTTTTGTCGGTCGCCCGCCTTCCCTCGACCGCCCAGTAACGTAAGACTGTTACGTTGTTGTGAGGTTCATATTTATTTAGTCTTGATTACAATGGTCGGTTGTTGCATTTTCGTAGACGTTCAGACGGCACTTGTAGCAGAGCTGAGTGGGGCCGGAGTCGCTGAGCTCTATGCGGGAGAGCGTGGCGGCTTAATGGGAATCGTTAGTGTCTGAACTCGATGGGTCGCGAGAGCATTGTAGCTCGATGCGGTCGTAGTCTGCTGTGTCGAAGCTGTAGCGTCTTGGGGTCGATTAGAACTGTACACAGTGCTACATTCTTGAGGTTGAAGAGGTGTGGTAAACCCAAAGCGTCTGAACTGGAGTTATATGAATCGCTGTGGAAATTGTATTGTTGGCTATTCACTTCCCGCTTGCTTATATTTGGTGATTACATCTCGGCTTCCTCCAACAGGATGGAACGAATGTTACATGTAATTAGGGAAAGGATTTAAGTAGTCATAATTAGTGCTAATTAGTGTGTCATTAAGGTAATGAGACTGGAGCGAGTATAAGGTTTACTCACTACAGCCCCTTCCCGACGCCCCCTCTACAAATCCCGCCAGTTTGCTTCTGCTCCTTCCCACTCTCTCTCAATTCCGTCTTTGCTAGATTCGTCTGTCCTACCCACCCCGTCCTCATAGCAAATCCATTACCATAAGAAACCCCTTCCCCACCCCCTCAAACATCCTGGATAGTTATCTAGATTTTTGTGATGGTCTGAAAGCATATGGTTCTGGTAATAGTCTACATGTAAATTTGGCAAATTAACTAGCTTTTGCCTTCCAGATTATTCTCCAGTTACGACTTTAATGTAATATAAATCGTCGGTTTAACATAAAACAAGTACACTGACGACGTTTTCTTTAAGGAATTTGGTTTTCTGTAAACAGAATTCGAGGGGGCACTAAACGTTTTCGATTTCCATATTTCATATCAATAATACATTGTATTAATGTAATGAAACCTAACATAACCATGGATAGAGTAGATAGTATAAATTATGTAGCTGTCCCAATCCATTTCCTTCAGCGAATCTTCTGCCTGAAGACAAGTTGGCCCCACCACCCTGACTTTACTGCATCTATTTCTGTTCTTCTCTTGTATCTTTTCTCCATAATTTTTTCATTTATTGACCTTAGTTCTTAACTGTCAATAGTGGTTATTCCTTCAATGGAATACTACTATTACTAGAATTACTATTAATAGAATACAGTACCATTCCTTCAATGGAATATTCGCGGTTTCTTTGCGAATTTTCCTGAATTCTAACTTTTGTAGTCTCCCTTTTCACCACTGTGCCCGTCATCAGGAGACGAAGCTTGTCGCTCGTCTTGGCCACTTCCGTGCTCCTGCCTTTCTTTCCTTCCCTCTAGCTTTTGCTGGGACTCCTGCTCTGGAGTCGTTTATTCCTATGCATCCTGTGGTGGTTGAAATCCAATATTGGCCACTTTTTATCTCCAGCAGATTTAAGACAATTAGGTTTTGCTGGGTTCACAGTCATATTGGTATTATTTTCGTTCCCTTCTTCCTCTTGCCACTTCGGGAGGGTGTAGTTTTTATATATATAGCTTCAGGGCACCCGTTCCCCCCAATTACTGCACGGGGAGATAGACGTAGGTGTGCTTTAAGCACACACATTTCCCTACCAACAGAAACTAAAATATATAATCTATGGTTAGTTGGCATATCTCACTCACAGGAGTTAAGATGATGATGATAATGGTTAGTTCAATGGAAAATTCTTGTGTATTTTGTTTTTCTTATATAAGACACAGCACACAAAGGGGAGGGGGTGGGTGCACAGTATATCATTAAAAAGAACTAAAGCTGAAGACAAAACAATCTGCCTAAGCAGCAGGAATGATGACTTTGACAACAGCATACATGGAAAAATATTTCAAAGCGGAAGCTCCTGGCAAGGCGGCCAGGAGGGAGGGATATCATGTATGTGCACATGGGTCCCTCCGTCGGCCATCATACCCACTCTATGTATATATTAACACGTTGTACTGAATGGGGATACTGAAAGAGACTGTATTGAAAGAGATTGTACTGAAAGAGAATAGCTTGAGCTACCTCATCCCTTTGTGTGTATTTTACCTCAATAAACTTATTTCAATTTCAATTTCAATTTCATACCCACTCCTGGGCTCCGACCAGGTCATCCACCCTCCTATGAGAAACCATTCGGAGAGTTGGTACCCCTCGATGACGACCCTGCATAGGTAGTTAACTACCAGCTATCCTAACTGTGGATAGGGACTGTCTCCCCATCACGACTATATTTCACCCTGAGAACACTACTGCTAAGGAGGCTATCCGCACTTGTCCTATTTCCAAAAATAGCATTCCTTATTCAGATTTTTACCGTCACTCATTCATCGATCCGAAACCGTTGGCAGGGTCGATGGTCTTGTATTACAGGAAACAAACTATGCTTTTTCTGGGTAGCCTGTCCATAGCCCTTCCTCCATAATCACCTCTGGCTAGGTTATAGATTGGCCATACACGCTTAATTCAATGGGCACTAAAGGGCGTTCCTTTATCAAACAAAATCTGCAATATTAAAGTCATTCTGTATGCTTTTTGTTGGGTTTTTATAATGGAACTGAATTAGAACTGTATCATGTGAACCGCCAATGCGGTCCTTCCTTCCTTCCTTGGTATTCTCTTCATGGTCAAATTTATCCATATATGCTCAAAGTGACATATATCTCACGCTAAGTGTGGTGATTAAAGAACTTATTTTCTGCGAGTGCCACTGATCTTGTAGCAAAGGGATGTTTCATTCTTGTAAGTTTCATAGCTGTCTCGCACATCAACGTGGGTCAGTGATGCAGTCAGTTCTGTATTTACACGTTTCATGTATTGCTTGTACAACACAAAGATGACATGGAGTTTCTCTCGGCCATTGTGGAAAATATAATCTATTTGGAAAAGTGTCACTTTTCCATTTAATATCTTCATTATATCGCCTTGATGATCTCGAAGTAAAAAAAAACAAATTAGATTTATTGTTGTCAAAGTGAGACAGGTTCATTTCAAGATCATATTCGCCACGGAATTTTGGCGAATAATAGTAGATAATAGCACAAATTATGTAGTTGTCCCAAGCCATTCCCTAAACCTCCCTCTAACTAGCTCTTGCACACTTTCACACATTTGTCTCTACATTATATCTTAAGAACTTTCACACATTTGTCCCTACATTAACTCTTGTGCACTAACTAAATTTACATATATATTAATCTCACTAATAATTCTCAAACATTCGCAACTCTCGTTCAGTAGCCTACTCACAAACACTCAGTACTCTCGACTCATAATCGGGAATTCCGGATTCGAATTCCGTGCGAGACAAATTGTTGGATGCGTTTCCTATCACCTAATTTTCAGTTTTAATTTTCGCGTTTCCTGTTCACCTAGCAGTAAATAAGAAACCAGGAATTAGTCAGCTTTTTGTGTGGTTGCATCCTGAACGGGGTCAGTAATTCGACTGTGGGTGAGGGGGCTCTATATAAGCCTAGCATGTGTGTGTGTGTATATATATATATATATATATATATATATATATATATATATATATATATATATATATATATATATA